AGTTCTATGCACTTCAATACCAAGGTAGTATCTTAACATACCCAAATCCTTCATTTTAAAACACCCCATTCTTTCTGTGGGCCCAGCTGCCTCTTATCATTGTTTAGACTGCGGCTCTTCCTCCTGTCTCCCAAGGTCATTCCCATGTTCACTACATTTGCTTTCTCAGAAAAAGTTAAAGAGGCATGCTAAGTGCCCAGAATGGATGATTTGCCACTGAATTCAGCAGTAGCTGCCCAGCGTCAATGAGGCAGATTTGAAGGAGGGGCCAGAGAGTGCCAAAAAAGAGGATCTACAGGTCACCCATCCCTATTTCAAGTGGCATATGGAGGCAGAGCTACCGAGTCAATTATAAATTCAATTGGAAATGCAGGTTATCAGCCAGCTGAAGCAGCTGGGATGGACACGTTTGTATTCAGGCCAAAACAGGTTTTGGGGGACTTGAGAAAGCTGCCTGTCAGGCCTAGCCCAGGGAACTCCAGAAGACCATGCATATTCAATCCAGCAAGGTTTATTAGCTACAACCTCTTAACAAGAATCTTCCCAGACTGAAACCTCAGTTCCCAAAGTCAGCCAGTCAACACCGAGTAAATTCCTTAGGGAGGTGCCAACCTCCTCCGCTTATCTCTTCCTCGCGCTTTGGGAGATGAAAGAGCATTCTTTACTCCCTTATTCTGGCTCCCACCATTCCAGTCCATCACACTGCCCCATGAACAGGGACCAATCTTCTTGGCTGCCTCTCTGTTCCTGTGAAATACTTCAGTGGTGATGCAGTTGCTATTTCCGTGCAATTCTGACATTTGTTGATCTTTTTTCCAGGGCAGATCTTGTCCCCATATACTCGTTTGGGGAGAATGAAGTCTTCAAACAGGTCATCTTTGAAGAGGACTCGTGGTGCAGATGGGCACAGAAAAGATTGCAGAAATATATTGGCGTTGCTCCGTGCATCTTCCACGGACGAGGTGTCTTCTCCTCCAACAGCTGGGGGTTGGTGCCTTTCTCCAAGCCCATCACTGCCGTCGGTAAGACTTAGTGGAAAAAGACAGTCCTGGTGGGCTGGTGTCCCTGTGGTCTGAAGCAGAGGCTTTTTTGATTTATAGGTAGTCCTCACAACAACCACAATAGGGACTGGAAAATTTGTTAAGTGGGGCAGCTGTTAAGTGAGATGCACCCAATTTTATGACCCTTTTTTGCAGCGGTCACTAAGCGAATTACCATGGCCGTTAAGTGAACCAGGCAGTTGTTAAGTGAATCACGTAGCTCCCCATTGATTTTGCTTGCCGGAAGCCAGCTGGGAAGGTCGCAAATGGCAATCACATGACTCTGGGATGCTGCAACTGTCATAAGTGTGAGCTGGTTGCCAAGAGCCTGGATCGCGATCATGTGACTGCAGGGGTGCTGCAGTGGTTATAAGTGCAAGGACCGGTTGTAACTCCCTTTGTTCGGCACCGTTGTAACTTTGAATGGTCACTAAATGAATGGTTGTTAAGTGAGGACTACTTGTATGTCCTTTTCAGACTGGGAAACCAACTTCAATTCTGAAATGTATTCTTTCTTTCTTAGACTAGCTAATTTATAGTATGAGTCTTAGGCAGTTTACAAAATAGGAATAATTAAGGTTACAACCAGAAACTAAGCATAATAAATAACAATAAAGTTACTAAAACTCCAGGCAGAACTGGCCTGAACAATTAGATTGCATAGAGCAAAACTGTCCTTGATCTCCCATTTTTGGGAGGTTTGGAGCTCTGAAGTGAGACAGTGCTGCTTTCTCACAGCAGTGGAACTGCCTCCTAGTAGAGACCAGGCTGGCCTCCTCCTGGTTAATATTTTGGAAGCTTTTAAAGACAGAATTGTTTCAAAGAGCCTTCCCCTGATGTTATCATGACATCTTTAATTTCTATTTTTATTCTTCCTAGTATAATGTTTGGGTAGTAGCGGTTTACTGTTTGTATAGCTGTGGCTTACTGTCTTGATGGACATTTTACTTGGTTTGCACTGTCAATGTAAGATGCCCAGAGTCTAATAAATACATTTCTGTTGGAAAAACAGCAGAACCCATTATGAAACATACATCAAGGTGTGGAATCATAGTCCAGGCTGCTCCAGGGCTTGATTAAATAAAGGCTTTCAATACTTTCCAAAAAGACAGCAGGGTTGGGCCTGCTTGGACGTCAGGGGAAATGCTGTTCCAGAGAGCGTGGCCACAGAGAAGGTCTGTCTCCAAGATCTTGCAAGACGGCACTTTGTTGCTGATGAGACCTGGAGCGAGCTGGCCCTGGAGTTAGATCTTAGTGGAAAGACCTCCCTTCATTTGGTGGGATATCAGAGAAGGACCCATGAGCATGGCCAGTTTTTAAGATTCTCTATCCTCAGTGCATGAAAGATTCACATTGAGCAGTCCAATTGAGTCCAGAAATGTACTGGCAACCTGCGTTGGTCAAGATGGAGGGAAGCACTGTGTGAGTTCATGGCCACCACATGGATAGGGAGACTAGTAGCAACTTCAAGACCAGTCAGCTTTATTTCCTCTAACAAAATAAGCAGCAAGGCTTTGAACCAGCCACCATTAATATTGGTGCTTCTTGTTGTAGACACTGTAGGAAGAGTGTCCTGTTGGTCGGTGATGGCCAAAAAAAAAATATATTACTAGCAAAAAATCAGTGAAAGCTGACATCTTTTAATGAAATTTGTGAGTTGGAAAAGGTGCGACCAGACTCCTGATTTTTTGGTAGTAATGTTGAGATGCTTTTGAGTCACTGGGTCAGTTTCTTGTTGCTAAAACAATGGACCACATTTAACTTTACCCACTTTTTCCGCTTTAGGGGAAAGGAAGCCATGACTTTTCTTGTCAGCCAGGTCTTTTAGAACTGTATTATTAATAATCCTCATTTCCCCCCTCTGATTTTTAATACTAGTATTAGACTGTTCGCTTAACAACCATTCAGAGTTACGACAGCCTTGGGAAAAGTGCTTTACGACCCCCAACAGTCACGTGATTGCAATTTGCAACATTTTTATGATGGTCTAGGTGAATTCCAGCAAAAAATGTCCATTGGGGAAGCTGGATTTGATTAACAACCACATGATTTCCTTAACGCCCACTTGATTTGCTTAACGACCATGGTGATTCGCTTAATGAACAAATCGCTTAGTGACCTAAATTTTGGTCCCTATTGTGGTTGGATAGCAAGAACTACCTGTATATTGTTAGCTCTCTCAAGTGCTTTGAGAGTAGAATATTTGATGTTCCTTTGTTGAAAGTTAGCTTTCCGTTCAGCAACCAAGGGATCTAAGGCTGAAATATTTCTAGAGTGGCTGCAGATGGTTGCCACTTCTGTGGCTAGTCAGCCTGCCAGCTGGGAATAATGGAAGTGGTGGCCGGGCACTTCTTCCACACATTCAGCTGAAAGCCAGCTTCAGGGGCGAACCTGTCTTTTTTTTATTTATTTATTTTTTATTATTGAGAAGAAAAAAAAACATAGAAAGTATTTAACAAAAAAGTGAAATACAGCTAAGAAAAGAACCCTCTTGCTGTGACCCATCACGTTCTCTCCTTTGCATTTCAGTTGGGGAGCCCATCACAGTTCCCAAAATTGATAATCCGAGCCAGAAGGAAATAGACTTTTATCACAGCCTGTACATGCAGTGTCTGGTGAAGCTCTTTGACAAGTACAAGACGAAATTTGGCCTGACAGAGATGGCGACTTTGGAGATCAACTGACGGCGCCCACAACGGCGTTTCTGGTCCTATTTGTTGGCAAGCTTGGACATCAGCGCCCAAAGACACTCTTTCTGCCAGAGTCCTCTTGCTTTGTGTTCTGGTCTGTGGAATTGGGGAAATGAGCGTGGATCTGTGGAAAGAGAAAATAAGTTGTCTAAATAATCAAACATTAGACCTCTCTAGCAACAGTGTCTGTTCGGCTGGGGACAGAGCCGGGCTGCCCCCTCAAAGCGGTAGCGCATCCCCCCACCCCACCTCAGTCACCGAGAAGGGAGGGCATTTGACTTCCCCTTTGCCACCATTCAGGGATGTGCAGATTTCCCTGGATGAGAAGCAGTGGGGACCAAGCCAGCCACCTTTATGCCAGTTAGAGGCCACGGCCTCTCCAAGAGAGGCCTGGCATTGAATGGGGACCTTCTTCACGCAGAGCAAGAGGTCCATCATCGACTTGTGCCATGTCGTCGCTTCTATGGAGAGGGAAGGCAATGGGGAAATGGATAAGAAATGGGGGGAAAGGGGAAGCATTGAGTTTCGCTGGCAGCCTGGGTCCTTCTGCATGTTTTGGAATCGCATGCCCTATTGTGCTGACCCTTCTAATAAGCTTTCTGCCTTAGGGACCTGTGTGAATCTGGAATTTCAAGGGTTCGGGGAAGGGTAGGGTGGAAGTGGTGGAGGGGGAGAACCCAGCTGAACTAGTGCAGCAGTTCTTAGGTGGGTTGGTTGACTGCAGCTGGGTCCTGCACCTGCTGGACCAGATTGGTTCGAGACCAGCTGGTTGTATTCACACCAGATGCTAAGCTTTGATTTGCTTTTTTTTTCTTTCGTGGCTTCATGGGTTGAGTGAACCCAGCTTATTGGGTTAATTGATGATTCAGGGTATTGTGCAAACACTACTGTATATAAATGCCAGGGAGAAAAGTTTTGTAGACTGAAAGGGTGGGTGGGTTGCTAGTTCTGTTTTTGTCGGGAGATGTTTATGGATAGACACATGTTGGAGAGTTTCGACAGGCTGAGTTTTCCCTGGAGTGCTGAAATCTCTGCGGTTAGCCTTACCTTTAAAGCTTCACTTTCTTTTTCTTTTTTTTTGGAAATCCTACAAAGCTTTGCCCATCCTACAGATGTCACCCCTCCAAAACAATTCTTCTTTGACTGGCTTTGTGCAACTTCTCTCTGAGATCCTCCGGTGCCTGGAATTCCTTCTCAGCAACTACAGCCACCATTCTCTCCTACTTTACTCAGTTTCCAACATGGGCACCCCCTTCCCCCTCATCTACAGCTGAAACCTCAGCCCCAGTATGATTGGGTTAACATATGCTAAACGGTAGATTGTTTAACCATGTTTTATTGGGTAAAGTGTAACTGGCTGGGGGTACATGGCTTGCTAAGCCCTAAATCATGGTGTGCTGGGTTTTCAGAAGCTAGACCAAAACCAAACAAATTCCATGTTGGCATCTTCAGGAGGAAAGGGAGCAAATTATGTAATTTGCATCATTTCCAAGGATGACATGGAAAGTAAGATGTCATTGTGGCTTAAATCAGATGCCTGTGGGCTTCACCCAGGTGTCAGCTCATCCCTTCTTTTCACCTTTCTGTTACCTTGGCCATGTCATAATTTCGATTGGTAAATGTTTGGGGTGGAGATCTGCTTTTAAAGTTTCCCTGGCTTTGCAAAGCATGCAAAACCCCAGCCGTGATGCTCTAGAAATAGTTTACTGTCCAACAGGGTTTTTCTCAGTTGTACCTCCATCAAAACAAGAGAGACCAACCTGTGGCCCCCCCACATCACCCCAAGATTGTTCTTCCCAAATTGAGCTGCAAAACAGCCAAATTTTTGCACTGCAGTTTCAGGCTGTGGGGGAGAAGAGGGTGAAGGGGGTTTTAAGGGTGGGAAAAATAGGCAATAAAACTGGATGGTATCATGCTGTCAGTGGACAGTTCCATGTGGCCTTACAAAATATTGCCCACCCCTTCAAGGCATGTAGAAACATCCGTTGCGATGTGTGTTGATCATCTAAAAAAGAGAATTTAATCCAGTCCTGTCAGAGGAAACTTTTGGGGGAAACTTTTGGGCTTGCAACTTTGGCAATTTTTTAAAGAATGCAAAAGTGATTATGACTCAATTCAGCAATCGATGTATATACCCTAGTTATCTGGCGTAATGTATTGACTGTTTCTAAATGTTTATATGCATGTGGACCGATGCTTTGTAGAGGAATATATTCAGAGCCTATCAAGCTGACATATTAAAATATGTTTAAATGTTTTGCACTATTGTATGTTTAACCTATAGCCTTCAAGTATTTTAATTGCCAATGATGACTGAAGCTCTAGATGTGCCTTTGTGTAATGCAGTGTTTTTCAAGCTTGGCCACTTTAAGATGGGTGGACTTCAACTCCCAGAATTCCCCAGCCAGCCATGCTGGCTGAGGAATTCTGGGGTTGAAGTCCACCCTTCTTAAAGTTGTTTAAGTTGAGAAACACTGGTGTAATGCAAAAAAATAGGGTTTAATTAGTTTCCTAGGTTCTCAGGATTCCTCAGATCCTGACCAGGCTACATAAATATTCATTCAGAAGAATAAGAATGCTTCAGTCTTTAGGCATTTCATGGAGTACACTGTACATGGGGGTTGGGAGGGAAGATTTTGTATAAATTTATAGAAATAAACATTACACAAAAATACACTGTTTTGCTTCTTGTTTTTTTCCCAGACTTGCTCCTGAGACATTTAGCCTGTAAGCAACATTATGCAGAGTGCAGAAAGGAAATAATAAACCAAAGATAAGGAAAAGGAAATATAGCTAAATTGAGTTTACATCAACAGGATTTGCTATATCTCACCATATTTTTTCCATCTCTGCTTCCGTTACGTCGATATAGCGCTTCATACATTGCTCTTTAAGCATTTTAATTTATCTTTTGAGGCTGCTATCGACTCTGTCCAGCTACAACCTTCTTGGTCTTCCCCTTCAGCCCAGCTTTTCCATTTTTCTACCACAAGTTTTTGCAGCTCAATTAATTTTATCAGACCAAACCACCTTAAGAAAGGATTGTGAGTTCAAAATTGAGAAGAGGCAGCTAGAAATGTGTATACGCAAGACTGAATAGCAGGGACAGAAATGTGAGAAGTGCTGATTGAAGCCATTTTTAAAACCTCCTTAATAATACTATATATAAGCAGATGCTGCCCTCAGGTGGTTTGGTCAACCCAACGCCCCAATACAGTAAGAACATATCTAACTTATTTTGTTTTATTAATTAGGCTATATGTAAAAGCAAATGTTTTTGCATACTACAGATTGAAAAATGGATTATAGTGTGAGCTTTTGTCAGTTACAGCCACATCTCATTATAGCTTATGCCAATGAGTTTTTTTTAAAAAAATTTGTAAGGTCCCATCCTACTCATGTGAATGGCAGATTGGAAGAGTTGCATCTAAACCTCAGATAAATGCAAGTGTTCCCAGATATATTTTTTAGAAAGCAAAAGCGAGCAGTAATCTTCAAGTAGGTTTCCCACCAAAGCAAAGAACAGCTATTTTATTAGACGGGCAGGTCTAAAACGGGGATGGCTTGATACATAATTATACCCACTGAGTGATTTATGTCAATAGGTTGACCTGCGTCAGACTTTTGGCCTCCAGAGAAAAAGGATTTGTGCTGCCTGCTCCACGTGCATCTGATTAGGGCAGTGTTGTCCAAACTTGGCCACTTTAAGATGAGTGGACTTCAACTCCCAGAATTCCCCAGCTGGTACAACTCCTCTGGGAGT